TTGAGTAGACAAGGGTGGATTTAGAGGAGATCAGGGTAGCTGAGCAGTATTTGGAGGAAAGGGATGACTCTGATGATAATGGCCTTGCGCTGTCATCAGCTTAAAATGCATCTGGTAGTGGAAGGGGCGTTGATATAGCTAGTGTTTATGATTGGTGAATCTCGGTTTCCTTTATTAGTTCATCATGCTTGTTTGAAACATTCCATGTTTTTTGTTCAAAGAGTTGAAACTTTAATATTTTATTATTTTATGACTTGTGATTTATATACATGATTTTCTTGAGTGTTGGACTATTTGAGACATTATATGATTTCTGAATTTATGCGTTTATCATTTGGTTTATTTTTCTTTTTAATTAGGTATTGTAACTCATATCTAGGGAACTATCGAGGGATCAAGCTTATAAGCTACACTGGCAGAGAGTGATTGAGCAATGACTGAGGCATGAAACAAGTGTATCAGAAAATCAATTCAGTTTTATGTTAGGGACGTCAACAATTTAGGCTATTTTTCTATTTAGGCAACTGATTGAGAGGTCTAGGATGAATGGAAAAGACCTCCACATGGTCTTTATTGATCTAGAGAAAGCTTATAATAAAGTACTTCGAGATTTAATTTGGTACGTATTGGAAAAGAAAGAGTCTCCAGATACGACATCGCTTTGGCGAGAGATATGCACAAGTGAGTGCTCATTATTGTGTGCACAACTAGTGTCGAGACGAGTGAGTTTTGGTGACAATAGATTTACATCAGAGCTCAGTAATGAGCCCATATCTCTTTGTTATAGTTATGTATGACTTAACTGGGCACCTACAAGATGAGGTACTGAAGTGTATATTGTTTGCCGACAACATAGTTATGATCGATGAGATTTGAAACGACGTCAACACCAAGTTTGAACTTTGGAGGGATGCTCTAGAATATAAAAGTTTTAAAATTAGCCGAACTAAGACAAAGTGTATCAAATGCAAGTTTAGTAATAATAGGAGTAGAAATGAGGAAGTAGTTAAGATCGACTGCCGAGAAATACCAAAAAGAATGCACTTTTGATATCTTGAATTGATAATCCAGGAAAATTAAAGAGATTTAGGAAGAAAGAGATTGAGGAAGATGCCTCACATAGAATTAGAGCTACCTGGGCGAAGTGGAGATGTGCAAGTGGAGTTTTTATGTAATCGTCATATACCAATGGAGTTGAAGGGAAAGTTCTGTAGGACAACTATGAGTCCAACTTTGCTTTATGGGGTAGAAAGTTGCATGGTCAAGAAACAACATACCCATCGGTGCGTGTAGCTGAGATGAGGATGTTGCGATAGATGAATGGCAAGACAAGAAGGTATAGAATTCAAACTGAATACATTCGGGATAACTTAGGTGTTGCTCCAACATCGATAAGATGAGAGAAAGTAGACTTAGGTGGGCTAACCATGCGCAACGTAAACTCAGAACAACACTTGTTAGGAGATGCGAGTTAGTTCAAGTGGAAGGCATAAAAAAGGTAAGGGGTACGCCTAAAAAGATATGGTTGGATGTAGTGTAAAAAGATATGGGGACTCATGGCCTCACTGAGAATATGGCCCTTGATAGAGTAGAACATACCAGGACCCTAAATAGTTGGGAATCTGATGATGATGATTTTAACTCATATCGAAGAGGGTTTGGTATTTAACAAACCCTAAAAAAAATGACATTTAGCTGATTGAGTTCACTTTTTGAGGCATTTTGATTGAGATTTTTTATTTTTAGTTAACTGATTTCTTTCGAGATTTTTTGATCCAAAATGGTCAATGAAATCATCCCCTTGGTGGTTTGGTTAGTTATAAGGGGAAACTATACAAAAAAATTTCCCATTCAATGCCACTTGATTTCTCACCAAACTGAAGTGATATTTATGCCTGATTCTCTCCCACAATTTTCCCAGTCTTGGATCCAAGTTTTATCGAGCCTCTCCTCGTTAAAAGTCCCATGCAAAATGTAGATCATGAGATGCTTATTGCTTCCCATTATGATAATGTTGTGAAATTGGCCTAATTGTGAATTGCCATCAAGATAGTCATTGTATGGTATGTTTTTAAGAAGTTGGCCACAAACCAGGCATACTGAGCGTTAATTGGCTTCCCATGATCATGATCCATTGAGAACTTGAGCTTATTGGACTTTGTAATTAGGATATTGAGTTTTGTGATGTTTTGTATTTGAAATTCATTTATTAATTGGCATTGTAAATTTGAATAGTGCTGAATTTTTTAAGCACTTGATTTTATGGATGTTTTCTCATTCTCCATGCATAATTTGGTCGGACTTTTGTAAAGGGATCCTAATTAAGTTGTAATACTTGGTTTTAAGAGTATATGGATGTAATTAAGGTTGCTGTAATTCCAGTTTAAGTGGTTGTAATTGAGGACAAAAAGTGCCTTGTGTCATGTAATTGTAGTGTACATTAAAGTTGTGTAGTTTATTGTCTAAGAAGGTTTTAAGTCTTGTGCCTTATTCTTAATTCCGTTCACCATCTATTTGGAAGTTTCACTAATGAATATCACGCATTCTTGAGTGAGATCTTAAGATTAAAGAGTCACCAACATACTTAGAGGCCACAAATGATAACAGGTGGATTGAAGCTATGCAAGAAGAAATAAAGGCCATGCATATCAATAATACGTGGGAGATTGTTAGAAGACCAGAAAATAAAATCTAGTAGGTTGCAAATGGGTACATAAGGTGAAATATTAATCAGATGGAGTATAGAGAGATCCAAGGCAGCATTGTTAGCTGAAGGATTTAATCAGCAATACAGACTCCATTATCAAGAAACCTTAAGTCTAGTTGTTAAGATCGTGAATATGCACGTAAACCTCCTCTCTCACCATGAAGAAATGAATTCTTCACATCCAGCTGGTATGTCAATTTATGCATATGCCCACTTCATCTCATATGGTAGCCTCAAGGAGAATAATCAAATGCATTAAAGGAACAGTGAGCGATGACATAGTCTATTATAAAAATGATATGAAGAATTTTCAAATTGAATCAGTAATGGGATATTCCAATGCTGTTGGGTTAGTGACCCAGATTCAGGAAGGTCTGTCTCTGGACTTTATGTTTATCTTGGGAGAAACATGATATCACGGAAAGGTAAGAAACAAAAAATAGTTGCCAGGTCAAGTACTGAAGTTGAATGTCGGGTGTTAAGAATTACTATATCGGAGATGTTACGGATTCACATTCTGATGGCCACATTGGGCATGAAAATTATAGGATCCACAGTTTTTTGTAATAACAAGAATACCCTAGCCTTGGCAGTGTATCCACTATTTCATGATAGATCTAAATGTATTTAGATTGATTGTTATTTTGTGCGGGAAAGGATTAAAGCCAATGAACTTGAAGCAAGGTTTGTGGGCACAAAAGATCAAATAGTAGACATATTATCCAAGGAACAACATCTGTTTTTGAAGGACAAGTTGTACATGTTAAAACATGATATAAAACTTGAGCGGGAGTGTTAGTCATAATTGGCCAGGGGTGTATTCGTAAATTTGTATACTTCTGTACATTATTCTTGTATCTGTAGTTTGTGTTCATTGTAAAAGACAATTTTATAATTTCTGGATTTATTCATACCCTATCTGACCCTCAAATTAATTGGGGTTAGAAACATTATAAATATATATCTTTGAGCTCCTCACTCAAGTGTGAATTATCGGTCACTCTACTTTGGCTTCCTCTCTATTCATCTCTACTTGAGCCACAACTTGTTCTTCCCTCTCAAGCATTCGAGGTGATATTGTAACCTTTTTTTTGTTTGTGTGTGTTGCGGGGGGGGGGGGGGAGGGTGTAGGGGTTGGAGGGAGGGGGAAGAGTGAGAGGGAGAGGGCGGGGATAGATCCCTGTTGGAGGGAGGGGGAGGGCAGTAGGGAGAGAGAGGGAGGGGATAAATCTCCTCATCCTAAATTCCTAAAATACTTTGTTAGACAAAGTATAATATAGTCTGATTTCATAAGCAAAAAAGCCCCACAAAAACATATTGGGGTAGAGTGGATTCAATTGATCCCTCTGTAGTTTCATATAGAGGGCTCTTGAAGTATAGAATAATTTCTATGATCATAGTAATAATTGTGATGTTTTATTCTTTTTTTGGCCTTGATTGGTGACCTACATGTGCGTGCTTCTTTTATATGGTTTGTGGCTTTTATTGAAGAATAATTTCCATTTCTCTTCCAAAATTGGTTTGTTTTACTTAACTGAGAAATAATTTCCATTTCTCTTCAAAATTTACTTTCTTTTACTTCATATTTACTAATACTCTACTGTTTTACAAAATGGAAGTTGAATTCATTTCGATATTTTACTGTTACAACTTTGATGTCATTTTTTCATCACTTACAACCTAGGAGTATCAATTTTGTAAGGAAAATTGTTTCATGCGGGCTGGGCCGCAATTCTAAATATGCGGTCTAGAAAGTGTAAAGCATCCATCTTAAGGATGGATGCATGTAGGTGTTCTAACGGTCCAAATGTTTTCTTACTAGAATTATTATTTTTAGTTTTTAAAATTTATTTATTTATTCATGTTCATGATCCCCATGTTAGGGATTACATGTCCTTAAAAATTAAGTCTTAAATCCATCTCGAAAATAGATTTATTTAGAGGCCCGCATTTCTACATATACGGGCTTGGCCGCATAGAAACCGCGTCCATTTTGTAATGCAGCCATTTGCAGTCCCTTTCTTTATTCTTTGAGATGTGCTAATATTCCCTATGTATTTATTAGATTGTGGTATAAAAGGACCAATCTAAAGTGCGTATGTGGCGTACAAGTGCTGGAATGAAAACTTTGTTTCTATTTTCTGCTTCTATATCCCTAATATCTATATACTTAACCTCCATCATACTTCAACATGCAGCGAGATTTAAGTGCCTGTTTGATCATCGTGTATTTTATTTAATAATTGCATTTCTTCTTTTGAGCTCTGACCTTAGTTGCTTACAAAATTTCCAGGCTGGCATTGAAGTTGCTAAACGCTTTTTAAATCAAGGAGAGACGGTATGTAATTTCTTGGAATATTGTTTTAATGCATTTATTTTCTTCTTTTACAGGTAATTGGTAGTTGAGAATTGGTAATTAGTCATTAAATAGTGAGAGGGTAGAAGAAACATGTGTTACTTGTGACTTATTGCTTGGATCAAATCTGGTTTGTGTCATTATTTTCATTATTTGAAATCATTGAAAAATGCTAAAATCATTGTTTCCCTATTGACAGTCATAAAGAATGTCAAATTCATTCTATTTGCTTTCGCTTTCAACTTTGGATAGCTTTGCCACTTTGCCTATATATATGGAGAAAATTTATGTAAGCGCACGAACCTTGTACACTATACAAATGAGGCGCACCTCAAAAATCTACCAATAAGGTTGTTTCAATCGTGGAAAACTCTCCAATTTATCATCTCGACCTTGAGATGTATGGTATGGAGAGGAAAAAATGATTTGGCGTCCTTAAAATAGTACATCTTGTAGTGCATTATCTAGACTTTCCATTTTCAAAAATGTCTAGTTTTTTATGGATCTGCTTGATATTCACGATTTCTGGAGCTTTGAATTTCGTAATTAGGGGTAAAAATAGATATCAAGTCATCATAGGCGTTTTCATCATTGGAACTGCATCGTCTGACATGGTTTGGAAGTGCTCCTTTGATTATTTAAGGTTTTGAGGTTCACACCTTATATAAACTGCAGTGTTTGTGGGTGTGTGTAACATCCATTTTTTCCATCTCGTTTTTCTTTTCTATGGTTTATTCATCACCATGCATGACATTTTAGAATATCGGAGAAATTTAGGATCATACAACAATCATGATTTCAGCTACCAAAAAAGGTTATTTTGACCCTGGAAAACTCTCAAATTTATCACCTTGGTCACAAGATGTACAAATATGGAGACATAATGATTTCCAGTCCTTAAAATAGTGCATCTTGTAATGCATGATCTGAACCGCCTAGTTTCAAAATTTTCTAGTCTTTATAAATTTGCACGATCTGCACCACTTTTGGAGATTTGAATTTCATAATTAGAGATGAATTTTTAGGTCATATAGGGGTTTTAGGTATTCGACCTGCAACTTCCAGCACCGTTTGGAGGTGCACCCTTGGTTATTGGAGCTTGACACCTTATACAGACTGCAGTGTGTGTGTACATGTATAGATGTGTGTGAGTGCGTGTTCATGCTCGCACTCTTGGGCACACATGTGTATGATCCACTTTTTCCATCTGTCTTTTCTTTTATATTGTTTACTCATCACCACAATGTTAGAGAAATCTAGGATCATGAAGCTCTCTTGATTTCACATCAAGTACAACTGCGCTTAAACCATTGAACATGATAAGTTTTGTGCATGACACATTACCTTTCTTTATGTTTATAAAGAAGCCATGTCAGCAGTTTTTAGGTCAATTGGAACAATCTCATAAATTCAACTTTCCTCCCATATGGGTCTTTTTTCCCTTTTTTTTTTTTTTTCAATTGCAATGCAGCTACCAAAGTTTTCCCTTTATTGATATTGTTAAATTCCTGTTCTATATAGAAAGATTAGCATCGTGAACTTGGGAATGTAACTTCCTTTCATTTTTTTGTTAAAGACAGAACGACTAGGAATTGTAAATAAGGGAACAGGGTAAGTCTATTATTAGGTCTTTGCTGTCCGTTCCCATTGACTGGCGATGGAGATGAGCCCTTCCTCTCCAATTGTATGGTCAATGAGGAATGGTTTATCTCTACTTTGCGTCATTGAGAAAGGACATTTGATACTGCATGAAGTGTAGAAATGTATACTACGTGTCATACCAATCCCCATTAATAAGGTAAAGATAGATGTTTCAGCACCCCAATATAGCGGCATACAAATCGAGTTGGAAAAGATGGAACCAATTGATATCATCTGTTTGCTGAACTGATCACCTAGAAGTTTCACTCCCTTATTTTTCTTTCCTTTTCATTATGTTAATTTTTAGTAATTCCTTCCCCAATCCTACTTGAAATATAATTTATCTGTAATTGTTAATAGAGCTCTGTTTCAGATTTGAAGGATCTTTTTTCCCATGAAACTGTTGTATTTATGCACATCCAGGTGATATATACATTTGGGAGGGATCCACAGTTGCAAAGAAGTATCACGACTGAAACTGCACCTCTAATATCTGCTCCTGTAATGGTATTGTTTTGCGTTTACTTGGAGCATGCATTCTGATATTTAAACATCTATTTTATATTCACGAAAATCAGAATTAACTGAGTTTCCATATCCTGCCTGCCTGTTTATTTTGGATGTCCCTCTTTGCACCGCCCTAAGTTTGACTCTGCAAGAATGAATGAATTGCATAATGATTCTCACAGTATTTGTGATTCAGTAATATAAAGGGTCATTTAAAATCAGTCCAGTTTGCTGCAAGTGCATGTATTAACTATGCTTGATTCTTCAAGTAGATACCGACTCTTGTTGACATCGCAGAGTTGCATAATGTAAATGTAATTATAGGTGAATTGGTGGGGAAAATATTTTTGTATTATTTATGCATAAAATAAAAAAGTATGAGTCACTTGACTTCCTGGATAATGTCGTGTACTATCAAAAGATAAGTACACAATACGCACATGAACAGACACATGCATACATAAGCTGTGCACTTAGTGCCTTCATTAGCAATAGAAGTTAAGGGCAATATGATTCTTCTCAAAGCTGCATTGGGAGCATCATGTTGCTCCAATGTACACTAAGAATTACTTTCATTTCCACTTCCATATCGTGCCTTATCTCCTCAAACCTTAATTTGGAGTGATTTATGTGACTACTAGCCTAGCAATGTGCAACCCCATAAAGCTGCAAGTTTTGCCATACTATTCGCATGATAGCATCTCATGGCAGGAGATAGGGATCAAGAAAATTGATAGGAGTATTGATTCCATGTAATCTACTTTTAAGAAACCCTCATGACCAAATCAAATTGATTAGACATCTCCTGAATTGTTGGTTTTTTAGAATAGTTTGCTGAAATATAGTCAACCTACTGATTCAAAAGCTATGTAGGACAATCTGTAGGCCCCGAAGACCGATCCAATGCCAATCAGCAGTGTAATTCAGTTTAACCTGCCAATTTCAAAGCTCTTTATAAAGCTAGTTTTGATTCGAACGTTATACAAAACTTTTTATTTTATAACCAGAAATGTTTTTCAGGTGGCAACGGCACTCCATGATAATTGCAGAGCAGTGCTTGTAGGGGAGAAAACTTTTGGCACGGTCATTATTACAGTCATTTGTAATTCTGTTTTCTCAATATCATTATTATATCAATTCTTGCCTTCTTTGTAATCTTTGATCATGGTTCCAGTTTGGATACTTGTGTACAGGGACTGATCCAATCGGTATTTGAACACGATGATAGATCTGGTGTGGTTGTGACAATTGGGAAGTACGTCACACCAAGTCACATGGATATCAATGGGAATGGCATAGAGCCTGATTTCACACGTAGACCAGGTGATATTTTTCATAATTATATGCATTAACAGATTTGACGTTGACTTTCGGAGCTCATTGCTGAAGCGAACCACCTCAGTGCCGGAGCGCATGATCCACTGTCAAAGCGCACATACGCAGTGCTGGAGCACTGTGACTCCAGATTACACTGTTAAAGCACACTTACACGGTGCCGGAGCACATGATCTACTATCGGAGAGCACATAAACAGTGCCAGAGCGCTGTGGTGTTGCGCTGTCGGAGCACACTTACATAGTGCCGGAGTGCATAATCCACTACCGGAGCGCACATAGATAGTGTCGGAGCGTTGTGACTCAAGAGTGTTGCACTTCCGGAGCACACTTACACAGTGCCGGAGTGCATCATCTACTGCCGGAGCTCACATACATAGTGACGGAGTACACATACACAGTGTCGGAGCGCACTTACACAGTGTTGAAGCACAACATCTACGACCGGAGCGTACATACACAGTGCTAGAGTGCACATACATAGTGTTAGAGTGTTGTGACTCCAGATTTCACTTCCGGAGTGCACTTACTAGATTTCACTTTCGGAGTGCACTTACACAGTGCCGGAGCGCATTTACATAGAGGAGAGAGAGACGTGGGTAAGGTAAAAGTAAGGGAGGGTAGTTTAGTTTTATTTTATTTTATTTTATTTGGTTGGGGGGTACTTGCATAGAAAGTGTATTTTGGGAAAAAAGTGAGAAAAAAAGTTCGGTTGGGGGTAAGTTGCATTGAAAATGTAGTCTTGGGGGTTGTCTGTAAATTTCCGTTCTATTTTCGTTGTAAATAAAATTGTACTTTTGTACATATAAAGAAGGAAAAATTACAAAAAAACACCCCCAAAATGTGCTATTTACACAACTTACCCCTTAGCCAACCTTTCCTCCCACTTTTTTCCCCACAACAACTTTTCCTCGCAAAAAGCCCCCCAAGGTAAAGAGTTATTTTTTGGACGGAAATGCCCTTCTCATACAAAAAAAATTCAACTGGCAGTCCCAAGTTGCGTATTGCTGGAGCGTAGAATAATGCTGTCGGAGCGCTTTCTAATGATTGCCAGATCAGAATAGGCATTGCTGTAGCGCTGTGGCTCCAAAAGGTGCACCATCGGAGTGCTTTCATCTACCGCAGGAGCGCTGAAAACCTTGCCGGAGCACCCTAATGCACTACCCGGGCGCCCTAATGCACTACCGAAGCGCTACGGCTCCAGCGACCCTATTGTCAGAGCGAAATGTCTCCAAAAGGTGTACTGCCGGAGCGAGATCACGTAATGCCAGAGTAAATTTGTCTACTGCCGGAGCGCTGTGGCTCCAGAAGGTGTACTACTGGAGCGAATGTTTGTATCGTCGGAGAGCATTTTTGTACCACCGGAGCGACGTAATCAACCGCCAGAGTGCCCTAGCTCCAGAAGGTCTACTGCCGGAGCGAGTTTTCATATCGTCAGAGCACGTTATCTTCATTGTTGAAGAGAGAGAGAGAAAAGGCATGTGAAAAAGGGTATTTTAGATTTTTGTTTTATTTCTTTTTGGGTTAGGGGGTTTTTGGGAAGATAAGTTGTTAATGGAAAAAATGTGAGAGAATAAAGTTGGATGGGGGTAAGTTGAATAGGTAGTGTACATTGGGGGGTTTTTATAATTTTCCCTATAAAGAACAATGAATGAATTATATCCAAGTTATCTCTCTCTCTCTCACCCACCCACACACACATATATATAGGAAAAAGTTTATATAAGGATGCAACCTTATAATGTAGAACTACGGATGCACCAAAAAAATTCATCGAAAAAGGTAGTTTCAATGTTGAAAACCTTTGATTGATAATCTCGACATCGAGATGTATGACCATGAAAACTAAAAAGACTTTAAGTCTCAGAAATAGGGTATTTTACAACATATTATCTACACCGTGCATTTTCAAGATTTTCATATGTTTATAGATCTACTTGATTTTAACCATTTTTTAAATTTAAAATTTTATAATTAGATATAGAAATAGATTTTGAGATAATCCTAAGAACATTTTACATCAAAATTATATACCATGATAAAATTTGAAGGTGCAACTTACCTCTACAGTTATGGATGCATCTGTATGCCAACTGCACCCATA